GTGTATCAGGCCTTTGTGTCTTTCCTTAGGCTTGTCTGGCCCTGGCCCATTACTGCAAAAGCGTCAGCTCTCCATGGTGCTGCCAAGTGCTACGCTAGAAGCTAGAAGTAAGAGATTTGAGGCTCTGTGCATCCCAGATGGGGCAAAGTGACAAATGAAGCCACCTTACAATGATGCTAGGAGCAAAGAAAAATTATCCAGTTTTTTTTTTTTTTTCCTTCGGAGGCATCCAGAGACTAACTATACAAGGAACAGCCTCACTTAAGCTTACCACCCTTGCTCCAGGATGGCAGCTTGCTTAGAATTTTTCTTAAGGACCTATGTGTGGACTAGGCAAGAATCTCCACACCTCCCTGCCTGAGTTAGCTTATAGTCTTCCTCTGAATATCTCAACAATCAGTTCTTCAGCAAAACTCCTTTTACTCCCTAGTCCAGAACAATCCATTCAAAGAACTAAATTTTCTTCCCGTAAAGGGCCTGTCTCAGTTCACAATAAAACACGCATTGATGTTATTATTTGATGCATGTCATTCCAAAAATGCAATTTTATTTCTATTTCTATTTTCTATCTCTGGCTTAGGGCAACACCCGGCACAAGGTCTGGCCCCAGTGTCTCCACTTTTATATGAAAACTACTAATCTAAAACGGGGCTGTTACGGTCCTGATGCATTAGGATCACTTTGTTCACTTTAAGGCAGGACGCGTTATACAGGCTGGTCTGGCTGCCTGTGGATGGAGGACAGGGCTTGTAGTCAGGAACTCAAAGGCTTAGGATTGGCATGCTCTTACCTGGTGCTAAAAGTGAGGCCCTGGACCTCAGGGTCTCTGCAAGTATATGCTGGTTAGAATATAATATGCAACATCTTATAAATATCACCTAATGTAGCACCAAAGGAAGAGTCTAGAATTGAGAGTATGATCCAGACAATGATTTCAATAGAGCAGAACTCCTGGTCGTCTTTTCTAGTTTTCCTAATCCCTTCAACAAGAAGCATATTTTATTTTTTGAGACAGGGTTTCTCTGTGTGGCCTTGGCTGTCCTGGAACTCACTCTGTAGACCAGGCTGGCCTCAAACTCAAAGATCTGCCTGCCTCATCCCCCTGAGTGCTGGGGTTAAAGGTGTTTGCCCACACCATCCAGCAAGAAGCATGGTTTTTATTAGCCCTTGTTATACTGGTCATTTACTCAGTAAGGTATTTCTCTAAGCTCTCTCTCTCTCTCTCTCTCTAAGCTCTCTCTCTCTCTCTCTCTCTCTCTCTCTGTGTGTGTGTGTGTGTATGTGTGTGTGCATGTGTGTGTGTGAGAGAGAGAGAGAGAGAGGGAGAAAGAGAGAGAGACAGAGAATATCTTACAATCCTTTTGTAGAGTTCTCCCTATGGAGGATGAAGTGGAGAATGGGAGTCTGGGTGAAGAAAAAGCAGATTGTGAGAATGTTCACAGTCAGAAAATGATGGACCTGGGTGAGAACTCTGTTCCTGTCAGACTCCAAACCCCATGATGTCAGCTATGACATTAGTGTGGGCTTGCTTTTCCTCTACCAGACTTCCTTTCTACTTGTGTTACTGAGTTAATTCCTGATGTATACTTTATAATTTAAGCGGAGTTTTTAGTGTCTGTGGACTCACAGGATTCATGTTTTGTAAGAACTACTTGGTATGGCTAATACACTTATGAAAACAGTCTATATATTTCTTTGAAGCATCTTGCCCCCCACCTCAGTGGTTCCCACACCAGGCTTTGTAGGTGTCCCGAGCCATGCTCTAGTCTCTTTGGTAGATAAAAGGCATAACAGAAGAAGGCGCTGAATAGGAAATATTTAAGACAAGGGTTGTTCTTGATACTTTTATGAAGCTGTTGTGGAAAAGGGCCACTGTCTCCTCCAGAGGTGACTACACCTCAGTGCTGAGAGGAAAAGGGTCCTAGTTTACACAGCTTTCCTGCCCGGGGCAGTCTGGCTGAAAGGCATTATATAGATATCAGTTATCATCACCCACATGACGACAGTGATTATTTTACATATGGCAGCTTTAAGGGTGAGCGCTATGGTCTCATTTGTATGCCAGCATCTGGCAGGCTGTCACACATCTGCAGAAGATAACCTAAACGGCACTATTAATATGTCCCCTTTGCATTCTCCCCAAGGCATCTGTCTCCCCAAATGCCTGAGAAAGTTCCTTTCCCTCTTGAAAGCCTGGAGGCAAAATTCAGAAAACATGCCACCTAGGCTGGGAAAGCATAAGCTCAGAGTGACAGCTGGCTGAGCCCAGGCAGATTCCTGGCTCTCAGAATACATGTGAGGAGGGAAAGTGGACCGCCGCCTACATTCGTTCTACTGGAAGCTGCTTTGCTGGGAAAAACTTGCAGTCAGAGGCAGCTATTCCCAGGCTCACACAGTGTGAGATGTTGTTCCGGAGTCAACAATAGATGTCCAGTCACAGTCCCAAAGGCCAGTTCTCAGTGTCCCCAGATGTATCTCAGTGCCAGAAACCGGCTAAAGACACCTTCCCTAAGAAGCCTTCAGGGACTACAGGATGTCTCTCTGGTAGAGACTAACCAGCTGTGTATCCACTACTCAGATGCCCTTTTCATGTACATGTGTGGGTTGCAAGCCCGTGTGTGTGTGTGTGTGTGTGTGTGTGTGTGTGTGTGTGCGCGCGCGCGCACGCGCGCTTGTGGAAGCCACAGATCAACCTCGGCTATTTCTCTTCAAATTATCCCACCCCTCAAAAAGACAGGCTCTCCCATTAGCCTATAACTTGCCAATAGACTAGGATGGCTGGAGAGTGAGCCTGCCTCTACCTTGCTAGTGCTAGCATTACAAGAGTGTGCATCGCAGCACACAGGGTTATTTTCCCTGGTTCTGGGGATCAAACTCAGGTCCTCATGATTGGTGCGTGAGCGCTTTACTGACTAACCCATTTCCCCAGCTTGGCTTTACCACTTTTCAAGTTAAGCTTCTATGTTCGATTCCATAGTGAAGAGTCTCTTGAAGCTCCACTCTGACTGCTGACTATGATGTCACATTTACTACTTGCAGCAGCTTTCATATACAGAATGCTGAATCCCGTGGGACAAACAGCAATGGGTCATCTGGTGCTCCTGCTCTCATAAAACTGACATTCTCATAGGGGCAAATGAGAAATGCACACAAATCATTCCAGATCCCGCTGATCATGACAAAGACAGCAAGGATATGGCTGCTGACGGCCACCTGGAAGCCAGCGGGAGAGTCTCTGTAGAGATAGTAGATTCTACTGAGGCTGGACCCAAGAACTCTTGGGACACATTTCCAGACAGAGGGTAAAGAGAGGAAGAACAATGCTTAGTTGGGAATAGAGATGTGGTTTACTCGGTGAAGCAGAGTGGGTGAGGCAAAAAGCAACATGGCAGGTGTCAGAAGATGGAGTCAGGGCCCAGATGGCGTGGAATTTTCTAGACCCTGGGAAACAACTAAGGGTTTTTCAGCTTTCTGGAAAGCTACTGTAGTGTTAGGTACACACAGCCAGAATGCCAAGGAGGTCACATGCTAACTGATGGGCACGGGGATGTGTGGTGAAGGAGAGGATTCAGGCGGCCACAGGGGAAGGTACAATGGTAGCCTACATCAGTGAATGTTGGTAGGAGTGGGGAGGAGGACATCTCAGCTGTCTGAGGGTCATTTTAGAGGAAGCATACATGGGCTCATGGATGGGTGGGGCTGGAAAGGCAGAAGCTGACAACTAAAGGGCAGAATCAAAGTTAAATTGGAGCCAATACCAGTACTCAATTGCCCGAGGGCTGAGACCGTGAACTGAGTTGGGAATTGGAGGTAAGAGTCAGGGTTTAGGATGGACTGGATGGGCAGATACTACAGCAGTGGTTCTCAACCTTCCTAATGTTTGTGACCTTCTAATATAATTCTTCTGTTGTGGTGACCCCCAACCATAGAATGATTTTCATTGCCATTTCATAACTGTAATTTTGCTATTGTAATGAATAATGTAAATGTCTGTGTTTTCCAATGGTCTTTTGGTATCCTGACCACAGATTGAGAGCTGCTGCTCTAGACACGAAACAAAAATCAGCCTTTATTATTACAGGCAAGGTCAGTATAACGAGGTCAGAGAACTGTCCTTACACAGACACTCGGCTGGAAGCCTTGACTTTTCCCAGTGCTGGTTAAGTGGAAAATGATAACGCTTATAGCTTTGGTTTTGTTTGAGGTGCTGGAGAGTGGACCTGGAGTCTTGTAGACAAGAGCTTCCTTCCTCAGCCCCATGAGGGTCATCATGCCAAGAACAGCCTTGAGGGGCACCAGGGCCAGGTGATGTGCAGAGGGCTAGTGGGGGCTGCCAGCGGTGCTGTCTCTGTGTGGATTGTGGTTTCAGGTGTCCCCAACAGAAGACCCACCGAGCCGTGTAATTTCAGGGGTCTACATATTATATTCCAGTAGGGAAATGAAAGGCAGACACTGCAAGTTCACAGCACATGGGCTCGGATTCCAGTAAGTGGCAGCAACCATTATTGCCACCAATATGACACAATGAAATCCATCTCCATACCCTGGTGACACATGTACGCCACACAGACTAATTTTGAACCTTTTAACAGAGGAAGCAACCCCCCTTCCCCCAAAAAAACCAGGTCTTCATTATTGGTAAAGTTCTATCTGTATTTTTTGAGACAGGATTCCAGCATGCCCTAGGACACAAGGCTGAGGCCTGAACTCAGAGCCTTCTGCATGCTACATGAGCTCTCTGACAACTGAGATATGACATGTGCCAGCTCAGCTCTTATTTTAATGCAGGACACACAAATGCCACAGCATGAATCAACGATTTTGGGTTACATTCTAGACCCAGCCCTGCCGCCCTGCCCATAATTTGAGATTTTCCTTCAAAGATGCCAGCTGTTTCCATTTTGGCAGTTCTCTTCCTTTGCCTCTTTCTCCCCAGCCCACTCCTACCTGGATACTCATGAGTTGGACCAATAGGCCTCTGGCTTGCAAGGAAAGGATACTAAAACTCTGGTTGGTTATCTCAAAGTTCCACAGGTTAATCCTCAGGTCATCAGCAGACATGTAGGTCTCATAGTCGCTGTTGACGGAGATGGAGTTGATGTGGTAGGTGTGTGCATTGGCAAACACTCTTCGTGGGGTGGCCTCCACCATCAGGTCCATGGGTCTCAGGACAGGCACCTGGAGACGAGAGAGGCACAGTGCTCACAATGCAAGTTTTTTTTTTTAAATAGAAAATGTGTTTGGGCTGTGTCCTTACTACCACAAAGTAAGCCACAACCCTGAAACCGAGAGTTACAGAAACCAGTTTCCATTCTTACCACATTCTGGGTCTTTCAGCAACTGTCACCTGGTGCTGTGGGCAATATTCAATCTTTGTAAACTTGAAACACTTCTCTTATCACCTTCAGGGGACTTGGATTGCATTGTGGGGACATAGTCTTCAAAGTTCTCATTCTCATTTTGTTTCACATTTCAAAATTTTAAGTATTTGTTAGTTTTTGACAATTTTATACACAAGTGCTATGTTTACATTCCATCCCTCCCTCTCTCCCCACTCCCCCTGAAATTCATGACCTCTTCCTTATTGCTACATATACACAAGCAGGTTTGCATATATACACACACATATTACACAATGCAACCTACTAAATCCATGTGTTTCTCAAATGTGCTCTCCCCTTCCTTCCTTCCTTCCTTCCTTCCTTCCTTCCTTCCTTCCTTCCTTCCTTCCTTCCTTCTTTCCATCCTCCCTTCTTCCTGCCTTCTTTCCTTCCTTTCTTCTTCCTTTCTTCCTTTCTCTCTTTTTATCAACAAGAAATCTATTCCAGAAAGGAGATTGTGGGAAAAAATCTTAGGAATGTGTCATTTAGCTTCAATCTCAATTTATTTTTCTCATGTTCTTACATGATGGACCTAGAGGCCTGGATTCTATCCTAGTTTTATTCTTAACCTTTAGGGTACTTTTAGGAATGTGTTCCATCACTCAAGACTCCAGTGATGCCACATGAGCCATTACTATACAAGTGCTCATTGTGTCCTGGTTGGCCTGGAAACACCTTTGTTTGCACCAGTTGTCCTTGAGTACCAACTAGGTAGTGTCACATTCAAGATGGCTCCTGTTTGGACAGTAAATAACACGGTCACTCTCCTGAAATACAGAAGGTGTCCAGTGTATTTATTGAATGACTGAATAGAGTAAATGCCAGTAAGTATTTTCTTCATGGTGGGTTGGGGGAGTTAGGTGGCTGAGAGAGAGAGTTCTCTCTGGGGAATGTGAACAAACACACACACTCTTCTCTCTTCTTCTAAAAACCCAAACAAGTTAATCCACACAGCTAGGTGCAGCTCTTTAATAGAAACAAGGAGATATTCAGCCACAAGGATCCTTTCCCCTTTGAAAAGCTGAGCCTGGCTGATATGACAGCAGGTGGTAGTTTAAGACTTTAGCTTCTGGATCAACATCACCCCGGGTGGCTCAGAGTAGGCTGGCTTCCTGAAGTGCGGTCACCGGACAGCAGGCAGTGCTCTCCTAGCCCCACCTTGGAGTCGTCCACATGCATGTGTGCATTCATAAGAATGATCTGAGAAAACATGGAGGGAAGTGCAGACAGACGAAGGTCGGGTGTCCCAGAAGCCAGTGGTAGGGTTTTCCATGTGTCAGGAGAGAAGGAGGGGTTGATATCTTGGGACTCACATGCCAGACATGGACAGTGAATGGCTTAGCAGTGCATGTGTGGAATAGGAGGCCTGTGCTCTGAACACTGACTGATGGGCTGGGGTGTACTGGCTGAACCTTCTTTGTCCTCATCCTATTGAAGATGGCCCTGGGATTTACTGAGGCAGTCACCATCCATCCCACCCACTCTTTCAACAATATCAACTGAGCATTGCACAAAGTCCTAAGGGCTCACCTGGTGAGCACAGGACCTCTGCCTCACTCCAGCCTCATATAGCTGCCTTAGCTGGGGGTGAGGGTGGGGCCATGAGTGATACCACATAACGATGGAGTGAATGTTCCAGGGAGGAGGCATAATGCATAGAGGCTCTTGAGAGGCTTTCGGAGGATGGGTGAATGTGTGGGGACTTGGAAGATAAGAAATAAGTCACTAGGCCGGCAGAACGCAGGTTCTAGCCAGGGTTGAACTGGAGGCGGTGACAGAGTCTGTGAGAGCAAAGGTGGCAGGGTAGATTGGGGGTGAGCTGCAGGGAGGGGCTACAGCTGGAAGATGGTAAGAATGAATGCGTTTTCGAGGACTCAGGCATGATCAAGGTCAAGTCTTCATCAGGCCTTTCTGGAGGTATAGAGGAGATGAGTGAGGGGCTGAGGTCCAAGTTTTACAGGCATGTGTGCATGGATGAACACCAACTCAGGCTTCACAATGGAGAAAACTCCATGAACATGCCCCTGAAACAGTTACTGAAGCGTCAGTGTCTGGCCAAGAGCTCTTCACATAGCATCTTAAATATTTCTCCCGACACCTGAAAAATGGGTACTGACATAAGTAGAACTATAGAAAGAAAGCAGAGAGAGGCCAAGGTACCGTCCCGGTGTGGTCCAGATCTGAGAGGGCATAGGCAGGATTTGATCTCAGAACTACCTGGCTACAAAGTGAGCCTTCTTTTCTCAGGTATACCACACAGGGACACTGTGTAGGGTGGGAACTCATCAGTACTTTGTAAGTGACCTGGGTAAACAGCCAGGGAGATAAATGCTCAGGAGAGAGACATTACTGATGTCACATGCTTCAGCTCTGATGCCTCCACAGTCACCACGGATTTTCATAGCAAATGGATAGGGCATCTATTTTGTATGTTTTCAGACACACGTGCCACACGTTTTACAGTTGCTCATAAAGATGCTCGCACTTGGCTCCCTACAGATGTCTGAGTGCCAAGCAAGCACCCAGGGCTCAGGGAGGTGGGATCTGCTTCGCAATCCTTGACCTCATGTCCGCACCGGGTCTTCAGATCACTCCTGTGGCTGTGTTCAATGTGGAAGAGAGCGTGACAATGGGATAAAGAGGCATTTCCAAGTGGTAGCTGCCAGCCCAGGCTGCCTAATGTGATGAGCCTGGCTGCTAATGCAGGCTGACACGATCCATGATGGGCTGCATGATGGGGAAAGGCTCCGAGCAGGTGTCTGGGGATTCTCTGCACAGATCAGGTGTGTGAGAGCGTGTGTGTCTGTGTGTGCGTGCATGGTTGTCCGTGGAGGGTGTCCCTGGATCATTCTTGTGTTCAGGTGAAGGCTTGTCTCCTGCCCAGGAGGTCCCTCACAAGTAGGGCCCTCTGCAGTTCAGGAAGGCCCAGATGGTGGATTAGGCAGCCGTGTCTGGACTGCGATTCCCACAGGGTCTGACTGTTCCTTCTGGGGCCATGCAGGGAGAAGATCGGGGCACGATTTCAAGAGTGACAGGGAATGTCTGGGCTTTCTTTGGCAAGCACAGTCCTGGCAGCCTTCCTGTGCTATGAGCCAGACATGGGGTTTAGAGCCCCAGGTGTCAGCTCTACCCTAGCCATGATCTCACTCAGCCTTCCTGGAGCTGGCCTTATAAGCATTTGTTTGTGTGTGCGTGTGTGTGTGTGCATGTGTGTTGCTGTCCTATAGGGGAGGATGTAGCACAGTGTCACAGAGAGAGCAGGCTTCACTTTTGATTTTGGAGGAACAAGCTCTTGCTTTGTAGCCCAGGCTGGCCTTGAACCTATGACCCTCCTGCCTTAATGGCTGAATAATGGAATCATGGGTAAATGCCCGGCCAGGCTGAGAGCACTTCGATAATGGCTGAAGCTGTTATCTGAGCCTTGCTGGCAGCTGCAGAGGCTGTGTACCTAGTGTGGCCCATGCTGGGGAGCAGCAGTGTCCTCACTGGGCAGCCTGCATCCCTCCTCTGCTCAGGTTCAGTGATCTCCTGAGGTCGTCGGACGTGTTAGTGTTCTCACACACGTGTCTGTGTGATTCTGGGAGGGAGCAACATAATCGCATTTTCCTTGGACACCTGGCATCCTGATATTATATCCGCTGTTTGATTTCCCCGGGAACAATGGACAGCCTGAATCTGACCTGCCATCGGCTTACAGAAACTACTCTCCCCTTTTCAGTAGCACCCTGTTGGACAGACCCTCTATGAACTCCTATGAACACCCCACATTAAGTGATAACCTCTTAACCACTGCCTGAAATGTTTTAAACACTTGAGCCAGTCATCAGTGAATTACCTTATCTTATGGGCCCTAAGGGACAGATAAGAAAGGAGAAGCACAGAATGGCCGAGTAACTCATCTAAAGTCCCACAGCTAGCCTGAAGCAGAGCACCACACTCCTCATCTCAGGAGTCAACTTGACTCTCTTCCTCCTGGTTCTGTACCAGGCTGCATAGAAATGAGAGAAGAGAGAGAGACAGAGATAGAGATAGAGAGAGACAGAGAGAGAGAGAGACAGAGACAGAGAGAGGAGAGAGAGAATAAGGGGAATGAGCTGTACTACAGTTCAGTGGGAGCTGCCCAGGGTATCACCCACAGGGCCTTGTGTCTCCTAGGGAGGTGGAGGCAGACACAGAAAGGAGAGGATGCTAACCAAGGATGGGTGGAAGAAGTGGGGCTATAGGGGAGTGTGTATACTCCTGAGTATTGGACCAGTAACTTAATTATTCACTCAAGAAACTAGTAAATCCCTTCTCTGCATCTGGCATGTCTCAGGGCATACACAGTCAACCTTGCTTCTTTGGAGTCTCCTCTCTCTCCTCTCTTCTCCTCCCTTCCCCTCCCCTTCCCTCTTCTCCTCTCCTCTCCTCCCTCCCCTTCTTCTCCCCCCACATCTCTCTCTCATGCTATATGACATGGCTTCTCCAGAAACACTTCTCTGAAAAGTGCCATATGAGCAGATGCTAGAAGGATGTGAGGCAGGCAGACCCTAGATGCAAATGCACTGAGGATGAAGCATGAGCAGAGCATTGGAGAACAGTGAAACTGGAGCAGATGCAATGAGCAGAGGAGGGCTGAAAGCCACAGTCGGAGGCTGGGAGGAGCAGCCCATTCACACCGCTAAGGAGCCTGTGCTCTCATTGTAATGAAAACTTGAACAATATGGACGCTTGTCCAATTATCAAACCCACCTGGGGGGGGGAGATAGAGTCTGGCATGATGTACCCACTATTAAAGGGTAATTCAGTGTAACAAAC